AGTCTGGGCGACAGAGTGAGACTCCAACTCAAAAAAGTAAAGAAAAAAAAAGAAAGTGGTCTCTTGAGATGGAAGCTATTCCTGGTGAAGATGCCGTGAACATTGTTGAAATGACAACAAGGGATTTAGAATATTCCAGAAACCTAGTTGACAAAGCAGCGGCAGATTTTGAGAGCATGGAATGCTATCAAACACCCTCACATGCTACAGAGAACCTTTTGTAAAGGAAAAGCCAATCAACACAGCAAGCTTCATTATTGTCTTATTGTAAGAAATTGCCACAGCCTCCCCAAATTTCAGCAACCACCGCCCCAATCAGTCAGCAGCCTTCCACATCAAAGCAAGACCCTCCACCAGCACAAAGACTCTCTAAAGGCTCAGGTGATCAGCAGCAGCACTTCTTATCAATAAGGTATTTTTATTTTTTTATTTTATTTTATTATTATTTTTTTGAGTTGGTGTCTCACTCTGTCGCCCAGACTGGAGTACAGTGGCACGCTCTTGGCCACCGCAGCCTCAACCCGCTGGGCTCCAGTGATCCTTCTGCCTCAACCTTCCGAGTAGCCAGAATTACAGGCACATGCTACCACGCCCGGCTGATTTTTTTAAAATTTATTATAAAGGTGAGGTCTCACCAAGTTGCCCAGGCGGGTCTTGAACCCGCGGGCTCAGGCAATCCACTCACCTCGGCCTCCCAAAGCGCTGGGTTTACAGGCTGAGCCACCAAGCCCGGCCAATAAGGTATTTTTAATTAAGGTATGTACATTGTTTTTTAGATATAATGCTATTGTACACTTAGTAGATTATAGGATAAATAACTTTTTGCACACTGGGAATCCAAAAGATTTGTGTGACTCTCTTTATTGTTTTATTTTTTTTGAGTTGGAGTCGCACTCTGTCGCCCAGACTGGAGTGCAGTGGTCGCTCCCGGCCACCGCAGCCTCGACCTACTGGGCTCCGGCGATCCTTCCACCTCAGCCTTCCGAGTAGCCGGAATTACAGGCGTGTGCTACCACGCTCGGCTGATTTTTGCTTTATTGTAGAGATGAGGGCTCGCCAAGTTGCCCTGGCAGGTCTCGAACCCGCGGGCTCAGGCAATCCACTTACCTCAGCCTCCCAAAGGCACGGGATTACAGGCTGAGCCACCGAGCCCGGCTTCGCTTTATTGTGATATGCACTTTATTGCAGTGGTCTGGAACAGAACCTGCAATAGCTCCAAGGCAGGTCTGTACCTAGAAGTAAGATCACATCTCAGTGTATATTTTACTTACAACACCCTGCCGAAGTGTTTTCATAAGTGGCTTGTTCTAAACTGCCTTCCCTGCAGCAGTGTGTAAGAGTCCCAGTCGCTCCACGTCCTGACAGCATTTGGTGTTATCATTCATTTTCATTTTAGCCGTGAAACCCAGCCATTAGCAGATACATAGTGGTATCGCATCAAGGGTTGAATCTGCCCATTCCCAGGGACAATGAGGCTAGCCACCTTTTCCTATGCTTATCTACCACTCTTCTGTCTTCCTTGGTGAAATGTCTTGCTCGTTTTTAAATTGAGTGGCTTATCTTATCACCAAGTTCGAAGAGTTCTTCGTAGATTCTGGATACATCTTTTATCAGATGTGTGTTTTGAAAATATTTTTGTCCCAGTCTGTGGCTTGTTTTTTCATCTAGCTTGACTTTTAAAGAGCAGAAGTCTTACATTTTTATGAAATCCAATTTATTAATTTTTTTTTTCTTGCCCATACATTTTTTTTTTTTTT